AGTAAATGAAACTAGACAAGGAAAGCAAATATTAAAAAAAGGATAAAGATACTGCAAAGAGTATTGGTGGCGCCATCTCTCGAGTATTAAGAATATTTCTTGAAAGTTAAGGTAATATAAAATAAGAATTGAATATGAATGCCATCTCTTTTAAAAATTTTTAAAGAAATATCTTAGACACTCAGAAGATGGCGCTGATGATTAATTCTTTTTTATCTCTATCCTTCTTTTATTATTTGCTCTCCTTGTCTATATAGTTTCATTTACAGCACTCTGAAGATGGCGTTGATTTCCATATCTTTGTTTCTATCCTTGTCTCTTGCATATTTTGCTTATTATATATTTTCTTCTCTTTCTTCTAACTCATCCTTTTTCTTAACCAGTATCCTACAGATAATCTGATCATGTGACATCATGGATCCGAAATTTCTATCATATTAATTACTCTTAATTATCATTTGATTCATCAATCACGCTAAATTCCATTCTTATAAAATCACTCCTTGAATTATTAGAAAAACTTTTGCAATCCATAATTATTATAGATTTATTAATTCTTTTATTTCGAGGTAAGTTTCTTATAAAAATTTACAATTCTGTTAAATATGTTTGAATCAAATAACATCATACGAAATATTTTACAGTTGACTAAATAAAACATTTAGAATAAAATATTTAAAATATTTATAAATTTGTTTTCATTTTTATATTAATTTTGTATAAGTTTTATTCTATTTTTTAAAACTAAAAACATAATATACATAATCAATGTTAACCATACAATTATTATATACAATTACAATAAACAGGATATTTTTAATGAAATTTTATATTCTAATAGATATATTATATTCTAATAAAAGTTTGTCTCACAAATATGAAAGCAGTTTTGCAATGTTCTTAACAATTATATTTTCAATGTAAGAAACAAACATATGAACGTTCGCATAACTATTCATTTATAATATAACAAAAATTGCAATCAGAAAAAAATAAAAATAATATTTGTGATTTTCATATGATTTAAATAATAAAATAATTTTTTTTTTCAGACAAACATTTTTTATTGCTTGTTACTGCAATTAAATCATCAATTTATTTAAAGATTCTTTATTTCATGAGTAAACTATTCATTAAAATGCATCATCCTGTTATTAATTATAAATATCTTATCTATTTTATAGATTTCTTTCTTGTATATATGTATAACCAATCAATAGATGGAATTTTCTTTAACTATAAATTCTCTTTTCGTATTTTTAACGAAATTGTTAAAGTTCATTACACTCGAAGAAATATTACATAATTTTCGGCGTTTTATTATTATACTAAAAACAATTCAACCTAGTTCATGGTAATTATTTAAACATAGACAATGTAGCAGCTTAATATCGATTGTCAATAATCAAGAGTTCAACAACAACGCAAAGTAGTCTTTCATCAAGTTTAGTAGCGCTCGGTATGTTCAACGATAAAGGTGCTTCGCCATCGAAATCTCATGAATGCTATTCTCGGATTCTTGTACGTATGTAAAAGCTAAAAAAAAAATAAAAAATAATATAGAAAAAACATTACACAATTATAAATAACTCTTTATAATTATGTATTTCATTTTCACAATGTATTATATATGTATTATAAATCAATTAATTTTTTTTTGTTACAGTTATTGCACAATTATTGCATTTAATTAATTTTGCATACAATTGTTGTAGCATTATTCTACACAATTGTGGATTTTCTGACACAAGAATTTGTTTCATATCAAATTCGTTGATATTCATTTCATTGTTAGAAATTATCATGAAGTTTAAATTATTAAATTGATAATTAATTTGAATTTCATTTTCATTATAATATTGATTATTTTTAATAGAAAAAATACATATTTTCTACGAATTATTTTCATTGATTTTGAGAATGTGGGATTGTGGATCCATATTGTAGCAGATATTTAAAACATATAGAATTCAAAATAATAAAATTTGTATTTTATGTGGAAAAAATATGATTAGAAGATAAATGCGACACAAAAGAAAAGGTCAAAATAATCATGCAGTTTTTTCGAGAACTTAATTTTCAAATATTCCAGGCATTTTAAATCAATTCAATTATTTTTCACTCGACGATAACACGCAACTCATTTAATGAGAATAATGGCAGTAGTATTCACTTTATTGTTTAAGTAGGCCATAGTTGACAACGTCATTGATATTGACGTAATTTAAAAGTAGAAATACTTCTTTGAAATAGAAGTTTGAAATAGTTTTGAAAATTATATTTAATAAAATTATTTGAAATAATTATAAAATTTAAAATTTCAATTTCAAAATAAAATTTTTTCTGATTCAAAAAAAATATTTCTTACGATTCTTCAATTTTTCAAATTTTATAAAATAATCTACAATACATATAATTAATAAATATAATTATATTTCATTGATTTGAAGTTGATAGATATTTGATTCGTGAATTTAGTTGCAGATGCAACTAAATGGATGCAATTGCAGAGCCGTTGAAACGTTTTTAATTAACACCTTAACCTTTCAATGGTAGCGATGCATTTTCTGCCGATTTAAAGTTGATACCGTTTTAAATGTTTAATGATAGCGCTGCTAAATTAACAAATACCTGAAACCATTGATTTTGGTTATATTAAAAAGACACGAATATGCTGATGAAGTGCTTCCACTTGTCTCGATATGGTCAACGATTTAAGATTCGCAAATTATCGGCAGCATGTGCCACTTTGGTAAGTTGCATTACAAAATTTTAAATATTCTATCAATTTCAATTTTATAGTTTCAAATTCTTATCAATGATAAAGATATAAAGTGAAAAATTTTTATTGAAAATTTATAGGACACAATATACAATATATACAATATGTACACAAAAATAACAACATAAATAATGACTCTATCTAGTATGAAAATGAGTTGATAAAAATAAAATTTTCAAATGAATTTAACTAATTCTCAATTAAATATAAATAAATTATCTGTAGAAAGTTATTCTATATATGAAAATAAATGTAAAATAAAATATTTTTATTTAAAATTTATTTTTATATGAAATTAAATTTGAAAATTCTTTGAAATTTGAAAATTCTCTTGAATGTATTTCTTGACTATTTAAGTTCGATCTTAATTATTTCAAAAATAAAATTCTATATAAGTACCAATGTAATTGACATAAAAAATGAAAAATATTCAATTATTGTATATAATAATGTATATAACAAAAAATATAGAAAAATTTATTGAAATATTTATTCAGAAATTTAAGAAATAATATGAGAAGCTTTTAATATAAATACTGGAATTAACGCAAAATAGCCAATATAAGATATTCTTTCTATTCTAAGAGCGCTTGCGCTGTAAGTTCCGATTCAAATAAAGGCGAAATAGGAGAGCTTGACCCTTGGTCATCGTCGAGAATACAGTGTGGTTTGCAACCTTTATAGTGATAACATGCTCTTTACGCAGCAGTTCACTTCTTTGCCATGCCTTGCCAAGTATAAAAAGTGGGTACGAGCCCAAAATTTCGCTAGAAATTTTGGTTTTATTTGCTTTCCTTCTCGGAAGATCTCAAGTACCGCGACATATGTATCCATCTACAATTATACAAAGTTATACATATTTTAGATTATTTTTGCTTTTTCAAATTCAAGTATATTTATAATTGAAATTATTCTTTTTTATTTGAAAAATTATTTTTATTTTTTTTTTCAATTTAAAGCAACATTACTGAATACTAAATACACAATTTTCTTTTTTCTAAAAATTTCTTTTACTTTATTCTACGATATCAATGAAATTATCATTAATATTGTCTTTATTCTCAATCGTATGAATTATGAATTATTAGAATTGAAAATTAGCAATTATGTTAGTTCATATTAATTCATGTGAAGGATGCATCCTATGAATCGCGATTGTCATTACACTTCACAATGGAAACACGCGTGCATTCACGTGTCATAGTATATGAAGATAACATCCGTATTATACTTATAACTGTGTCACATATCATAATATAGAGCTGTTGATTTTTCGGTATAAAAAATATCCACGATGTTTCAACATTTTTTGCTATTTCATAGTTCTTTCGATAATGACGCATCGTGCAGTACGCAGTATCTATATAATTTATATAATTAGTGACACACATATACATCAAGTGAAATGTGTATTATGACAAAAAAAATGTGGATTTATGTACATTGTTTTTTAAAAATCGGTTTTGAATAGATTTAATGAAATAATTACCTCATATCACATGTATAAATATATAGTCAGCAATTCTATTTGTTGCCTAATGTGACCAACATCATTATTGTAATTAATATTTAAGTACGATATCATATTGAATTATATATTTATGTGTCTATAAGATTATATTTCGTGATCAATTTCACAGAGTGATTATTATTTATAAAAGAAATTATTTTTCTCATAGGTCACGCGCGCCGAGCAAGGCGATGGAACGATACGAACGACTAGCGCGTCTTGGAGAGGGTAGTTATGGTGTAGTCTTCCAGTGTAGAGATCGGCAAACTGGAAAATTGGTAGCTGTAAAAAAATTCCAACAAACAGAAGATGATCCTCTTATACGCAAAATTGCCCTACGTGAAATAAGACTCCTTAAGGTCAGTGGTTACGTCATAAATAAAAATAAATAAATTTATGCTTTATACAAATATTTATAATTGAAAAAAATCTAATTGTATTTTAATAAGAATATATATCTATTATCACATTAAATATTTTCTTCTTGCAATCATTGCATGTTAATAATCATCGTTCAATTTATTTATATCATGGTATATATAAATTTAATAAATAAAACAATAAATATAGCTCTGAAATCTCTGTATCATATATATCTTTTATTATATAATATCTTTTATTATAAGTATTCATTTGAAAAATGTACATATCATTATTTATCGATATTTGAACATATAGAATATATTAACATGATATATTTAGATGATAAGTAGATAGAAAATAATCGAAAATTATATAATACAATAAAAATTTCAATATTTAACATTATATATGTTTCAATATTTAACATATATATTTAAATTAGAAAAAAAGAGATTTTTTTTCTATCAAAAAAAAAAAATATATATATATATATATATATTTAATAAAAAAAGAATGAACAGA